TGCTGAACTGACTTCTTCCCACACTTGCTGCTCTAGAAGCATGTCTCTGAAAGGAACAGGACTTTCTTGCATCTCTGTGACACAGTGGCAGTATCTTAGTAACCACGACAGGAGAAACTAAGGCATCCTTACCAGCTGCCTACTGATTTATGCTGGTTGTAGGTAACTGTAACAGCATGATTAAGCTGAGGCTGCCACCTGTAAAACCTATGTTGAGGCGCTGCACCATTCATGCCTTCAAATACAGAGAATCAGCTACTTTAGACTTAAAGCCAGGAAAGGTCCCTTACAGAAGAGTTAACACCAGGAAGACTGCAGTGTTTTATGTGGTTCAGATCACCTCATTCTCGGCACATCAAAGATTCGGAGGGTAGAGACTGTAGGCCAGCAAAAGCCTGAGTGTCATGACTGAGGATATGGTTTGCGTGTTTTGTCAACATGGACAGAAGCTGCACTTACAAAACTGGGAGACAGGAGTCAATGGAAACTTCCGAGATGATAAAAAAAAAGTCAAATTCTGTTTAGTTCCATCTGGTCACCAACACTTCCCCTAAGCACATGGGCACCTTTCACATAGGGGCAGAAGGAAGATTTAAGTCAGCGAGTTCCAACTAGCATCGACATGGCAAAAATATATCATACCTTCAGCACTTGGTTCTTCCACAGTGGAGGGATGGGACTGGGCGATCTCTGAAGCTCCTTCCAACCTTATGTGTCCTTTTGCTGCCAATTACAAAACAGACAGTGAGCAAATACTGATGGTCCCACCACCTGCTAGGGAAAGGAAAAGCAATTTCCAATCATCATTTGTAACAGGAACACTACATTCTGCCAGAAAGAGAGGAGGAAGTTCTCAATGACCCTCACTTCCACAGGGGAAGCTGAGGACAGCTGCTCTATGGTAGTCATACTTCATCACAGAATGCAGATTTATGCATGACTTCTTTGCTTCTCAGGAGCAGGCTAGAGGAACAGACTAGCAACTAGCTGGGTGTCAGGACAGAGCGCAGTGTGCTAACAAATTCTTTCCCAACATCATCCTAGACCAAGAGACTGAAGTACTGAGAGAACTCATGCTTTAATAGACACTGAAATCACAAAGAAAGAAGGCCAAATGCCTCAGCAATTTCAATAAAAATATGAAAATCTTTTTACATGGTAAATTTCATAATATAAAAAGTTTAATGCTGTCTGGAAACAGAGTTTTAATTTACAAAGAAAGTCCATATAGGCCAAACATGGCTAACACTGCATACAAGGAGAGCAAGTGCTAAAGGGCTGCTGCTTGGAAGAGTCTTTGCTGACAGTCCTCTCTGAGTTACCATCTTCAATGCTCTTTTGAAGGAGTTCTGCAACTGGGCGGGGGGCAAGTTTTCCACACACATTTGCAGCCTTTCTGGACAGCATGGCAATGCAATGAACCCAAACCTGCTCAAACTCTTTATTACCACCTAGCCTGAAACTACCAGTGTTTCATTACAGATTCACAGATATTTCGGTGCACCTGTATCTATCCTGGAACGTGAAAGAGATGTTCACAGAATGAGTTTGACCTAATGAACGGAAATATGGCCTAGAGTGATGTATGTGGGCATAGCACCCTTTCATTGCTTTTTCCTTGTTTAAGTAAGGTATGATTAAAAAGAAGGAAAATCAGTACCAGGCCAGAGTTCAGGCTAACCAACAGAATCAAATTAAAATGGATTTTGATCAGAGAGATTGTTTACTGTTCCCATTTAGTTGGAGCTAAAGACAGTCAATTAAAAAAAAAAAAATCTGTAATCTCACACAGTAAAACATACTGGGCAAAACGAAACTAAAATACGTTCTATGGCCTTGGGGAATGGTTGCATGTGGCAGGTTTAATGTGGAAGTGGATAATACCTAATTCTTATTGCTCACTGTATTAAGCAGTGTTGTCACTTGTACCATGCACAAATACAACAACGACAAATGCATTTAAACTCCACAGAAGGAATTCTAATATCAAACAGAGAACACGTTATTTTAATTTCCTGAATTTCTCCACATATTGGGCAAACCTGATAAAACTCTTTTTTTCCTCACAAAGGGGTTTTTCTCATTCAGGGGGTGGAGGAGTGAGGCACAAGGTGTGTGAAGTGTCTCCCAGCCATGAGCAAGCATGCATCTTCATGGCTCTCATTAAGCCAATGGAAGTGCCCTGTGTCAAGTCAATGGAAACACAGTTCCCAAAGGACTTGTTCTAGTGACACTCACCTTCTGTATTTATACAACACCAATTTACCAAACACTGAACTTCCTCTACATCTGAACCTTTCCCTGTTCCTAATGCTCCCCCCCTCCCGCCCCGCCCAAACCCCAACAACAGAAGAACCACCCACCCCAATTTAGCTCTTTCTGAAAACTTTAAGCCAGTACGGAACCTACTGGCAGCATGAAAATGGGCTGTACCAAAATGGCAATATATAATTTCTACAGGTTAAAAGATCCTTTAGTTATGGAAGTAAACTACAAGTAAAGAGGCTTATTTTCTTACGCAGCACTACAGGGAATATTTTGCTGTTGCTATAAACAAAAAGCTGCCCACTTCCATCCTGGATGTTCCTGGGACGTCGTTTTAAAACGGTTATGCTGGTTAGAAACAGATTAGGTCACATGAAGTCTCTCAGCAGTCTTGTGACCACAGCAAGTTCCATGATCAGCAGTATCACCATCTGCATGATGGGTAGACGCTACACTGACTCATTTTGGCCCACTATTCTAATTTTTCCTGCCAAATGACGAGAAGATGATATCTAGCACCAAACCATCACAGAAAGATGTAATGTACAGACAAATAACTTGCATCATATGAGTTGAACAGATTTACTCAACTGTTTTGCTACATTGCATAATAACTATTCTTTTTGCCTTTCTGCACTGAAACTTTTGTGATCATCCATCCCTTATTAGCTGACTGTAACAATACAGCCTTATACTCTTTGCCTTTAGTGCTTGTGTTAATTTCTTGCGATGGCAAAAAGGAAAACATTCTCCCAAAACCAGTGGATTCTAGCATATACTCAAAGCAAGCATTTGATATATGCACCATGAACAAGCTGAGCCTAAGTAATTTTATATTCATGTATCAGAATTCAATCCTCTGTCCTGCTATCATGCTTTTCCTTCAAGATCTCTTAAGAAAATCACAAATGATCAGATCCATATTTTCAAGAAGAGCATCCAGACATGATAAGTGCAACAATTATCTGCATCAGCAATGTGCCCCTAACACGTTTACAGAGCTGACTGCACTCACCATTCAGGTAGTCAGTTGCAAGACTGGAAGTTGACTTAAGATCCAGCTAAAACTGGGCCTAATTAATTAAGCCTCACAACACCTCTGTGAGGTAGGTAAGTATTACTATCCCCATTTAGATAGAAAGGGAAGACGAGGCATGGAGAGGTGAAGTGATCAGCCTTCAGTCACTCAGCGAATTTTGGGAGTGCAGAATAGAAACCCAAAGCCTTGGTGATCCAGTGCTCCGACTTCATAGCACATGGCCTGTGAAATACTTTGCTTGGATCTAAGTGTGCAGTGTGGCCGAGTCAATGCTACCACATGCCCACAGTTTTCAGTGCATGTAAATTATCATTTTGATTCTGATTACATCACTGTATTCAATAGCCGCTTAAAGAAATAATCTCCAATATGATCCATAACACCTAAACACCATCTAGCCTAGGAAAACTAACTTCGCACATCACACTTACTTTGCACATCACCCCTGGGGTGCTCTTGGCTCTCTTTTCTCCACGGATCAGAGGGCACACAGGTTCTGCATACAGCCACTCTGCTTGTTGCCTCATGGATGTGCTCTGATTGTACTGATGTCTGCTTAGACTGGTACACTTGCTCCAAAAGAAACTCAATTCCACAGCAGGGGAAACGTTTGCAGACCTGCCTGCCATGAGCTATGTGGAATGATTTAACAGGATCAGCGAGGGATTTATTTGGTCAGGTGATTTCTAAGTTACATACACTGATGTCACATTCCTGCCTACTGTGGAACTGTATGGAAAATAATGTTCTGAGCTTCAGTGTCTGTAACGCTCTTCTGTGCACACTTAGCAGACAGAAGACATCTGTGCTGCCCAAATACTTGCCAAGATGAAAATTTCACCATTATAACGCTGTGTGCCAGAAAGATCAGAGCATTTGATAAAACCAGAACTTGTCTCTCTGACACATGGTTACTACCTCACGCTGAGGCTCGCCTTGCTCGCTATGCCCCAAGCATTCTTTCTGAGCAGACCAACCAGCAAAATATCACCTGAAAGGTTTCCCTCCAGAAAAGAGATACCTGAGACACAGGTTTAAGAACGGGGCACTTCTGTCCTCTTGTCTTTGCTTCACCAGCCTCTAAATGATGCAAGAGAACTGCCAGTATCATGCTGCTATAGTTTTATTGCCAGCAATTTCTTGTGTTTGGCTAATGTGGCAGAGATATCTAGAGGTATGTCATCTTGTCCTCTCTGTCAGCCTTTGAAAGCAATCACATAAATGGCTTGTACTTCTCCAGGCAGAAGCTTGTGCACACTTTCTTTGTGGTATACAGGAAAGTTCTGCCTCCTCTTGCTTCCCTCTCTGATCCCTGATATGCATAATTTCTGTATAAAAAGCCAGTTGTAAAACCTCCTGTTAGGTTAAGAAATACAAGTAGGTGGCTAAAAAGCTAGTGTTTTATGAACAGACAACTAGATTCACTGGACCTGTTCCTGCCAAGACTGAACCCTACATAGAACCTGTTATCAAGTGAGTCTGGCCAAAGTCCTGATAAGGGAAATTAAAGCCCATCTGTGTAAGGTCCATGTTCCTACACAGTGACAGAGAAGGCCAATCTGTCACATTTCTGTGCATTGCCAACTGTGGGTATCACCACGGCTTCTTAGATAATGGTTCTGTATTGATAAAGGCAAGTGGGCAGAAGCAAATACTTTTACAAGATTGTAAGTTATCAGCTGGTACTCATGACCTTTCAACATTTGGAGGAAGGAAAAAATCTTCCCGGTGACAAAAATTTATAACCGTTTCCAGATGGCAGCCTCAAGGGACGTGCAGTTCCTGGAGTGCTACTGGAAGGTGGAGAATGAGTTGATGTCACTGCATTTGTAGTTTCAGGGCGCCTGTGTCCATTTGGAGGGTTCTTTTGTGGAGAAGCAAGGTGTTGCTCAATAGACAGGTCCTTTAGCTCCAGCTTATCTGCACTTTCTTCTTTGCTGTGCCGTGGAGATAAATTGAGCAAACTGAGGACATCTTTCTTAGATGTCATCGTTCCAGGAGCTCCTCGGAGAATCTTCATTGGGCCAGTGGAGTGATGGGGAGTGCTTTGCCAGAACATCTTTAAGTTGTGAATTGCTTGCACTTTTTCATCAATGGCAGCCATTTTTAATTTGTCTATGTCTGGGGCATCAGCTGGACTTGAACGAGCAGAACCAGCTGAGGAATAAGAAAGAGCAGGAGACGGAGTGCTGCCACCAGGAGACTGATGCCCTGAGCTTGGAGAGATATTTCTGGGTGATTTAGAAATATGAGCACTGTAGGGAGAGCTGGGGTACTTGAGTTTAAATTGAGGCTGCTCAGTTAAGGACCCATGTGAATCACAATTTGGAGATGGCTGCCCACTGTATTGGCCTGTGCCTTCTCTGTTTGACATCTCTGATGTTGTAGGGCTATTATAGCCGGAACTCACTTTCTGAAGGGATGAACTCCTTGTTGGAGGCTTTGGTTTAATTATAAGAGGTGAAGACTGATTCTTCTGACTAGAGCTGACTGGCCGACTGAATGCACTGGTCTCTGAAGATCTGAACACAGATACACCTGCTGGGGTGGAAGCCCCATCATCTGAATTGTTGCCCTTGCTTATTTGGCTGCTGCTTCTCTGAAGGCATTCAACAGCAATGAGGTGACTCTGAGTTTCCTCCAGAATTTTCTGGGCCAACTCTTGTGGATCAAGCTTTGGATTACTGTCCTCCTGGGATTTGACAGTGCTGTCAGTCTCAGTGCTAGACTGGTCAGATTCCCCAGTATCAGAACTTGCAAGTTTCCCAACTTTTTGGAAAGGTGAATTTGGACTGGGAATAAGAGTCATCTTAACAGGAGAACTTGGGGTACTTATGCTCCCTTTGGGGCTGACAGACTCTTTAATGCCTCCAGTCTGACCAGTTTTAGGCTGTTTGTGATCAGGGGAAAATTTTGGTTTTATGTTTTCTTGGTAACTCGCCAAAGGCTCGTTGCTGATTATAGAAAAACCTTCATACTCTTCCTCATCTTTGCTGGCCACAGTGCTGGTTTGTGGCGACAACTGGCTCTGTACTGCAGACCTATGCGGATAGACGTTCTTGGGCCTTTCATAGTCCTGGCGTCCCCTGTGTCCCACACCATCTGGCATGCTCTCTGGCTTGGAAACAAAACTCATAGAAGAAGCAATGGAGCTCAGGCTATACACAGAAATGGCATCTGATGCAATGCTGTCTGGACAAGTAGGAGAGAATGGAGGGTTTTGATACTGGGGTGCAGGGTTGGAAATAGACTGAGCAGAAGCCAATGACTCTAGTGATGAGGAACTGTCCAGACTAAGGCGCTTAGGCAGCTCTGTAGAATCTGAAAAAGAAAAAAACAACAGTACAAACATGCCCCTAGATACACAGTAATATCAAAGAAAACCAGGTAATGTTCTTATCAGAATTAAGAGGAAATGCTACAAAACATGCACTCAGACTCTATGCTACTTCAAAAAACCCAACTACTAATTAGGTGAGAAAAAAAAATGCGCACAGCCCAGGAAATGACCAGGCAGGAAGCTCAGTCCAGGTATCTCAGATGAAACTTCTCAATTCATTATCATTTTGTATCTCAAAAACAAGGGTGAATCATACATCCTCCAGTTGTTGGACTCTATTCCCGGCTTTGGCCTCAGCCGAATCTTAGTGTTTGTTTCCCATATAAAAGTAACATTTTCTGCACCATTTTTCTGTTGTATGATGTATGGTCTGTATGACGTGTGTGATGATGTATGTATGATCTCTGCAAAAGGTAAGAGTGTGAGATTTCAACAGAAGCCATTCTGATCAAATCATCAGATGATACAGGAGCAAAAACTGCTGTAAGTAGCTTTACCAAAAAGTGCCAGCAAGGACTGTAGAGCAAAGTGCATGGTCCTCCTATTAGCTTGTTTCCCAGTTTTCAGAATCACTTCCTCTTGGCCAACTTCACAAAGGTCAAAACCTGTAGCAGAATATGGAGCAGAAAATCACACCTCATAGAAAGATCCAGTGTTTTAAACAATTGATCTCATTTTGAACACAAATACAATAAAAAGATATCAGATCCTGCAGTGTCCTGAAACAATGACTCTTCACCTACAATGCAGACTTTGTTGGTTTGTTTTTATTACTATTTAGCACACCTTCTCCAGCAGGTGTTGGGAGCTTTATGGAGTGAACACATACACATAAACAAATCACTCCTGTCCAAACTTACAGACAAAATGCACTACTCAGTACTGTTTTAGCTGCAAATTATTTGGAATTGTGAGGGAATGATATACTAAACACGTCAGATGACAGTTTCCTACATGCCCTGACCATTCATCATTCATCCAAAGTTTCTCACAGAAATGAGTCTGAAGAAGAGCACAGACCTTGGAATTTAGCAAATGAAGGCTGGGCTGCAGGAGGCATGACTGTGTGCAGAATGATGCCTGGCTTTTACGATCTCCTCAAGCAGTCTTCTTGAATGTTTGTTTTTGCAGCATTGCCTCTTCCCTGCAATGCCTTTTACTAACTGTAAGCAAGGTCCAAGCTAGAATAAAATCTAGTTTGATATTTAGTTCTCATCTGTCTTTTCTGCAGGATGTAGACCCTGGTACATACTATCACCCTAGTAGGTCTTATCACTGCCCAGTGCACAGACTTCCCTGCCAAAGGAACAATAGATTCACTTCAGGTAGAAGGCCAGAAGCAAACTCAAAAGTATGTATTATCACAGAATCATAGAATCATTAAGGTTGGAAAAGACTTCTAAGATCATCAAGTCCAACTGGCAACCCAGCACCACCATGCCCACTAAACCATGTCTCGAAGTGCCACGTCTACATGTTTTTTGAATGCCTCCAGTGATCGTGACTCCACCACCTCCCTGGGCAGCCTATTCCAATGTCTGACCACCCTCTCAGCAAAGAAACTTTTCCTAATATCTAGTCTAAACCTCCCCTGGCACAACTTGAGGCCATTTCCTCTCGTCCTATGGCTAGTTACTTGGGAGAAGAGACCAACACCCATCTCACCACACCCCCCCTTCAGGTAGTTGCAAAGAATGATGAGGTCTCCCCTCAGCCTCCTCTTCTCCAGACTAAATAACCCCAGTTCCCTCAGCTGCTCCTCTCCAGACCCCTCACCAGCTTTGTTGCCCTTCTTTGGACATGCTCCAGCGACTCAGGGTCCTTCTTGTAGTGAGGGACCCAAAACTGAACACAATATTCGAGGTGCAGCCTCACCAGTGCCAAGTACAGGGGCACGATCACTTCCCTACTCCTGCTGTCCACACTAGTGCTGATACAGGCCAGGACGCTGTTGGCCTTCTTGGCCACCTGGGCACACTGCCAACTTAGGTTCAGCCGACTGTCAACCAGCACCCCCAGGTCCTTTTCTGCCAGGCAGCTCTACAGCCACTGCCCTCCAAGCCTGTAGCATCGCATGGGGTCATTGTGACCAAAGTGCAGGACCCGGCACTTGGCCTTATTAAACCTCATACAGTTATGAACAAGAGAGGAACAGGATCCTGAAATAAAAACTGGGGTTAAACCAACCAGACAGCACCAAGCTGCTGTCAACCCTGAAACCCATGTTCTGCTGACTCATGAGATGTTTTGGTGCATGAGAAAAAAAATGCACCTTAACCACTGGCCAACCAGTGAGCAAAGAGCTCTGTGTATGTGAACTGGCAGAGACGTACTGAGCAGCCAGGGATCACATCCACAGATGCAGAGACCACACAGCACCCAGACAAACAAATCTAAAGCTGTAAGTCTCATCACTACTTGAGTAGTTTTAGGAAGACAATGGAAAGAAGTGTTTGCCTACCTAGAGCTGCTAGAAACTCATGACAGCCAGGTAGCCTCCAGAGTTGGACACTGATGGAAACCTGGATTGGTGCAGAGGAGAAATCTTGCTCCTTCTCGCCTGCCTGAAGTTGAACCAGGACTTGATGTAGCTGAAGATAACAATACAAATATTAGCCATTCCTTACAAACCACATCACTGCTTTTCTGACAGTCACAGCTAAGAAAATGCACTGTAAACATCCCTTTTCCTGTACACCCATATATTCAGCTGCTGCTCCTGAACAGAACAGTGAGGTGAAAATGTCTGGGCAGAGGGATAGTCCAGGGACAGCAACAACGGACAAACTTGAACAGCAGCAAAGGTAGGGACAGAACAGGGGTAAAGGTTGGGGGGTGCGACCAGTGGAAACTGAGCAAGAGGGCAGCACAGCAGGAAAATCTGTGAAGTGAAAGAAAAGGAAAGAGATACTTTGGGGCTGCTCACAGAAATGTACTAAAGCCCATTCCATGACTGAGCCATACTCCTTATGCAAATCCCAAGAAACTCATTCTCAGCATTTAACTGAGCAGAAAAAATCATATGAAACCATGGAAGACTTTCCTAATACCTCCATGGCCTCCAGGAAAGAAGTTTCTCAACTGTGCTCAAGGGACAGGAGTAGCGAAGTAGAAAAAAAATGTGTTTATGAAAATTTGACACAAATTAAGGTGCCAGGATCCCATGTAATTCAAAAACTCAACCAGGAGAGGAAGGATGGAAAGTCATTAATCAGGGACCGGCTAGCCTCAGGACCACCCATCTCTTACAACACTTACACAGTCTTTTTTCCACAGTAGCACTGTGGAGCAAATTCCAGGCCTGAAAGCGGCTTGAAGACACTACTCTGCAGCACAGGGAAATGGGTCTGCAGTGACCAAGGCATTTTATCCTGCACAGCAGTGTCATTCCCCAGTATAAGTAATACTCACCATTCCCACCATATTTTTAACAGCCTTTGGGCAGCAGATAACAAGAAAGGAAAAGAGGAGAAAAGAAAGAAAGAACATAGGTTATTCTGTGCTACAAAGTGCCTGTGATAGGGAACCCTACAGTGACACATCCACATGCAAACCAGCATACTGACTGCAAGATGCTCTAACCAGAGAAAGAAAGGAGCAATGGAAATGGCTTGAGCTGTGAATCAGGAGTCCAGCAGCGTGGGAACAGGCAGCTGGAATCTGTGAGTGTCCAGCTCATTACAATCAACTCAGACAGCAGGCAGATACTCAGGCCAACACACATTCTGGCAGAAGGCTGAACATAAAACAAGCCCTTCTCTTGTTTCTCTGGGATTTTATTGGCACTTAATGGAGTCAGCAATCCCTAACTTTTCCTTGCTTGTGTAGTAGTACTGAAGGTCTCTCTTTTGTGGTTCCTGCCTTCTGTTTTGCACTAAAAATAAGCATTTTCTATCCAGAGCAAAAGATCAGGCTTCCTGCCTTGCTGCTTCACTACTGCCAAGAGCACCTGCTCTTTATGAAGCCTATCACCCATACGGGAAAGACAGTGATCAACACCCACTGACTAAACTATCAGTCATTATGCTGCAGTTTTGAACAGTCTTCTCTCCTTTGGGACAGGCAGAGCCTTAGCTACTCACCAACTTAACTGCTGAGAGGAAGGAGGGGGAAAAAAGGAAGTAGCTCTCCCTTCCTCTGTGGTTAAGTTGAAAAACCCAACTTGTAACTGGATAGACTCTTGTGCAAAGGAAATTCTGCCTGGGGATTGGGCTATAGAAGAACATTTGCAAAAACAATGCTATACCCCTGCCAATATTTGTTGCATGGGGCAGCTGAGGAAATGAAGAGTGAATCTTTTGTTAGTTGTGTACAGCCATCTGACTATTCTTCTTTGGGTGATTTAATTATCTGACGCAAGACAACAATTGTGAAGTAACCCTATGGACATATTCCGATCCATTGGAATGTTGTCTTCTACTCGCCACATCCCTTCTACTGCCTCCCTCTGGTGGCAATAAGGAAAAAATAACCCTGCTATTCAACCACAGAAGTCTCAGGCACTGACAAAAGAGCCAAGGCAAGAAAGCAAAATGCCATAAAGAAGCAGCCATTAGCAGTATCTCATGCGCTACTGTAGATCGTTAACAAGAAACCCCTTCCTTGAAGCAGACTCAGTCTAATGGATTGACAAAGCAGACTTCTTAGTGGGCAACAGCAAAGCTGGGGCTCTTATTTTGCATTTTGTGCAGAGACTCAACATGACAGAATGAAGGCGAGCCCTCTGAAGCTACACAGAGATAATCCCTCTGTACCCATCACGGTACTTCCTTAGAACACTTCTGCATAGGGAAAGGGGAAAAAGTGAGCTATACGCCCATTCACTACGTGCAGTGTGGTCATTTACTAAAGCAGGCAAATGATCAAGATAAACCTCAGCAGAGGAGCAATAAGGACAGTAAGAAACATGTAATGGAAAGCCAGCCAGACTGGTGGCACAGAGAAGGGTTAGGTTAGGCTAGCCATGCTAGAAAGATGGGAGAGGGAGGAATGTGAAGGAGATTGGGGGAGCAGGGAGCAGTCCCATAGCTACAGGTGGCACTGCCTTTCTCTTAAAGACCATGAATCCCTTCAGCAGAGCTATGAGCCTGCACACCAGGAGAAGCATAGGCTCAGTAAGTTTTCTGACAGACCCTGCATTGTCTGAAGTCAGCTATACCTTGGGACTTTGGTAATTGCAGCGGACAAAGACCAGTCAACATGGGTCCTAGACAGGATGGCCAAATAGCAATTAGTGGTTCTGCCACTCATTTCCTGTATTTTGCTTCCCCCTTACTGCAGTAGGTATCACGTTTTCACTTCTGTCACTGAACAAGGAGACCCAAGGCCATGCAGCCCAGTAACACATGTGCATTTTTCTCTTCTGGACACACAATTTCATTGACACAAACAGGCAAGTTTAGAATTTCAACCCTGATGTCTCCAAGCAAGCTCTGGGTTGATAAACCAGGTCATAAACCATTCTGTGCATTTCTGAATTTACTGACCTGGGAAGAACCATTTCGAAACTGATACTGGAAGAAAACCTCCCAACTCACCCTGTTGATAAGCTGTTCTCCTGTTTCTGAAGCTGTGATAAGTTTACAAAGTGCCTGAAGTGCAGGGTTAGGCAAACCTGAAAAACACCAGCAGAAACAGGGATTTTCAGTATCTGTTTCTTAACTGCTAGAAATGCAACAGCCTGAACAGAACACAAATTCAGCTAATTCTTAAAACCTCTCCCCCCACATCACTGAACAGTTCTGGAAGCAGCAGCAATTTCCAGAAAGCAAAAGGTTTTCACACATTGCATCTGATCATACATTTTCTGACTGAGAGCTGGGAGAAAGGAATAGTCACATCATGCTTCTCAGATTCTGAACCCAGTAGTAAATGATTCCCATCTATGACAAAAATTTCAGTAAACATTTACTTCTAGAACTTCTACCCTGTTAAATACTTTTATTTCATCATTGTAAAACATCACCGTTTTACAGGCTTGCATCAAGGAAAGGCAGGGAAAGGTTGATGTCTGCTGGGACAGAGCCCATAGCTGGCCTGCTCTTACCTAGGAGGGACTGTATGGTGGTGCTGCACTGCTGTAGCCGGTCACCAGGGTCAGAGGTTGGGAAGAACACTGCTGCCGGGAGGCCACTGGCTGGAGGGTCCAACCGAAATCCTACTGCAGTGAGTAGTGCCTGCCAGCCTGGAATGCCACCAACTTTATTCTCCACGCTTTGTTGGGAGGTATACATGGAGTTGTGCTGCCCATTCTGGATTCGCTGCAATGATTTCTCCACCTTTGGCGAAAATACAGCATTAGCTTATTTTATAAGAGATTTTTACTAACCGCCTCTTTTTACACAGTGAAAAGGCAGGAACAGCAGGCTGGGAAAAAAGAAAACCCAGTGTTAAACCTGGTCTGTCTTACACAGAAGGATATTAGCACCCTTGAAAGCAGAGGCTCCAGTAACAGCACTCAGAGCTGTAAAAATCACTGTGATGAGTGTCAATATTCTCTGGGATGCTGAAAATATTCCACTTTGCCACAGGAAACTAAGTACCAGTTTGATTATGATAGTTTCCTATAAGCCTGGCATTTCTCCCCAAAAGATAACTCGCGTTCAGGTTCCAGTCTCTCATGTACATGGCTTATTACCAGGCAAGAGTCTGCAGCTACATGGTAAAGACAGAACCCAGCAACTGGGATGACTGGCAATACTTAGGTTTCCATCATCCTATGCATACTCCACATTCCTGTGTGACCACCGAAGTCACACTGGAAAGAAAAGTATTAAAAGTCATGAGAGACTATTCTAGCCATCTAGCAGTTTGGCTTCAGTCTTGCTGCTCCCCACAACAGGCTACTGGCACATACGGGGACAAAAGTGCCTCTTATCTTCCAAGTACGCAAAGAGACCGCAGTCACTGTGCTCTGCATCCCCATGGCTGCAATGTTCGTAGCTATTTTCTTGTAGAAACAATTAACTCCAATGATAACCTCATTTTTGAAGCAGCAACCCAATTCAACAGCTAATGCAAACCAGATGGATCTGGGGAGGATTTTGTCTCAATACAATGTCACAACTGGTGACATTTATTCAAAATACAATGTAAGACTTTGCTTCACCAGGTGTCCCAGTCTTTTCACACTGACCCAGAGTTTTCACAAAAAACTACCTTATGGTAAGGGAGGAGGGTTGAAGGTGTATATTCAAGTGGGAGTGGCTACACATCAGGGTGTTTCTCTTCCCATTTATCATTTACCGGTGCATACCCACAGGTAACTCTACCTCACAACTACATGGGCTGCAATGCTCTTCCCTGTGCCTGCTGGGTGTTGTAGCATTTCCTTTCTCTTACCAGGTGTAGCAGGACACGCAGAGCATCTCGTGCCCTTTCAGGGTGCTGCAGAATCTCAGTCAGGGCCTGTCCTACTAGTGAGGAAGGGCTGTTCAGCTTCATATCACTCCCAATAAGCATGAAGCCTGCAGGATTCAGAATAAGAGACAGTCAATCTCCTTTTGTTACAGAAAACGTTCAAAAGAGAAGCAGATATCCTCTGCCCTTTTGGACTAATGGGATGATGGTTTACTGCGCCCTGCAGAGCAGTATTTTCCCAGAGCAGCTGCCCACTCCCTGCCCGGTCCCATAGACTGAACTTCCAGAAAGCTTCTAGATGCTTCTTACTGTCCTCCTCTATTAAATCAATAGTGTTTTCCTGTTCAAGCAAGTGGAAAAACACTGTATTGCAGGCTAAACTTGTCCTAGCAGGCTCCATACCTCTTGTACAGCAACAATAATCGATGGATGCTAAACAATGCTTGCAGAAACAGAACTCAAAAAACTGAAAGCTTTTCCTCTCTCAGTCAGAAACCTGCCTTGGCTTATGCACCATCTAAATGCTAGATTCTCCAAATGTCAGCACAAGGAGCTCCACTTGCCTTCTCATCCATTGCAGTGAGGTGTGCAGCTGCCCGTCCTTGCTCTGGTGCTCTATCCAAGTCCACCATCAAGAGTCAAAGGTGAAAGTCAGGGATTGTGTGTAACGAACTTGCTTACACACCACGGGAGGGGCAGCACTATGACAGTCTGAGTAGCTACTTGGTGGCGATGCCAAGCAGCCATGTCCACACTCATTCTGTTTTGTCTAGGAAGTGGTCACTTTTTTTTAAAATGCTCTTTCTTTTTGAGACAGAAAAATCTCAGAAGGAAAATAAAATACAAATAGAACTGCAGACTCTAACCTAAACTCAGCTCCCATCTGGTATTGTCTGAATCACACCCTAGTGCTGAACTCAACGTGCCTGAAATCACTCTGTCAGACTAACTCCAAGTGCTCATTTTAACAAGCTCTAGTGAGTTTCCCACTCCTCCAGCTACATACAGTTTACATGAGAGCTATACTCACAACAGCTTCCTGGTCTAAAAAACATGGTACTGCTGCCTGTGCAAAAAAAATCCATTTGGGGAATGCCTGCAGCTTTCAAAAACCAGGACTTGTGCCAGGAAAAAAACTGCACGTTATTTGTACATATGCCTGTAACAACACTGTTGAACTCCAAGACTTTGTCTTTCTGAATGTCAACTCTCATCTAATTGAGAGGGAGCATGTACCAGCACTCCACCACTCAGCTTACACTGCTGAGGAATTTCCAGTGGAAGCAAGGGAAGCCCTTCTCCTTCAAGGACCAAAGGAGTAAGACCTGCAAGGTTTATGTCACAGAAATCATAGCTACTGGTTGCTGCTGCAACTTCCAGAAGTACTACTCTTGCCTCCTTGTTAAGAGTTTCACTAAATTCTCAGGAAGAAGGTTCTGTAAATTTGCTGCAGCTAACTGCATCCCAAGTACACAGGAATCATGACCCTACAGATTTCAAACACGGGGAATGAGCTATTGTACTGCACATTATTTCTTTCCAGTCATGAAACCACTGTGATGAAACACACTTCACCTCACAATTGCTTTAAATTATATCAGATTCATAACCCACTTGCTACACACAGTGAAATACCAACATTTTCCATGACACTGACATTCAGCCCCACTCGGCTGAATCAAGGTCTGCAACACAGGGACTGAATTCTGAGAGACTTTAGGCCACATGCTACTCCCAACTACCCGCTAGCACTGCGCCTTGCTTAACTCAAACAATCTGGTATAAGAGCGTTTCCTAGAAACCCCGTTTTTTTTGTCAAAAAGCAAATTCCTCCTACCTGCCCAGTTGGATGGGTGGGAGAACTGCTTGCTGCTCTGTACAGTTTTCATCGCTTCTCCAAGGGCTGCACTGGCTTTCATCCCATTTAAGAGGGAGGAATAGAAGGCATGCACAAACATTTTGGAAGCAGCCACAGGAACAGGCCAGAGTGACACTAAGACACACTGAGCCCCAGCAGCCAGGAATGCTCTTGTCAAGCCAATGACTCCATCAGCAGTGACTTTGCTGTTGGATTCTTGGTAAGAGCCAAGAACCACTAATTTGACAGGAAGCCGCAGATCCAGGACATCAGCTGCTGTAAGGAGAAACTCCTGAAGAGGAGGGCAGTCTGAGATACTCTCCACATCACTGGCATCATCCTGCATCCGAAGGGATTCTGGAATTGTGTAGGGGTTCCCAAAAGAACTCTTGCTGCTGGCTGGATTGCTGTCAGTGTTGGGTGTCAGGACCAAAGCAGCCAGTTTCCAGGAGACATGGGTTGCAAAATGGACACATTCTGCCTGTGTGAGGGCACTCATGACCCTCTCTTTTGTTGCTGCACTGCCAACTAAGGGCTGGCAGCCAAGCAACTCAGATACCATATATGCTTCCTCTTCTGCAGAGGGCATAGGTCCCCATAGCCACCTGTCCATAACTGCTGAAGGGAGCTTGGGATTTCCTATGACAGCTGCCATTGAGGTAGAACTGGAGTAAGCAGGAGTATTCTTCCTCGCATGGGACTACAGAGAGAAAAAGGAAGAGAAAATAGGGTTCAGAGATCTGTTTGTTATAGTGCTGGTAATAAAATATCCTGTCTCATTGAAGTCTGGTCATCATAATTACAAAGAACCTTTGTGTTTCTTTAGTTTATTCCATTTAACTATTCCAACGAACACCTCCACTTCAGTCCAGTCAGGATTTCTATCCCCACATTTTGGGTGTACAGATAGATAAGAATAGAAAGCAACAAACTTAGCCTGGGTTCCTTTGAGGGCTGTAGCAGAGCTAAAAGCATAAAGATGATACCAGCTTCCCACCTTATGGGAAGACTAGTAATCACTCACTGGTTTCTTGCACCTGTATTTCAAGGATCAGTATCACCACTGCCAGTGGCACAGTGCTCTGCATGCAACTGATTACAGGGGTCTGATACTCAACAGAAAAGCCTAATTCCCACCGCAGTAATGCTGACAAGGTTCAGACCCTTTTGCTGTTCCACTGACTGTGTTTAACCCAGTGCAAGCTAAGACATGCAGCAGAACACTGCTCAGCAAGAGCAGATGTGACTTAAGGCATTCTCCCTGGAGACTTGGGCCTTAGAAATGCTGATGCCAAACATCAGCATGAAGATACTTCTGCAGGATTTGCCTGTAGTATTCACTTTGCCTTACAGCTTCAGTGTCATGAGACATTAGTGGCCTTCTCCACACAGAAAGCTACCATGTAGGTAAACATACCAGAAATGCGATAGGACAGTCAGCTTGCCAAGGAAGCTCGGTATAGATCACAAACACCTACATTTCTGCAGTCTGCCGTGTAGTTGCACACCCCAGGACATGCTATCCTTTAGATGAGGATATCCAAATGATCCATTGCCCTTGTCCTTCCTGGCATGCCTGGGGCTGTGATTTTGTGCTGCAGGAACTACATCACTTCTGTGATTCTGAAGTGATGTAGATTCTGAAACAGAATCTACTTCACTGCTGTGGTTCTCAGCGTGCTCATCAGAACTGGGAGTGCCTCAGGAGGGTGGTACATTTGTGGTTTCTATTCTTGTGTCTGGTGTAGCAGGACAGAGCTGCTGCTTTTCTAGCATGTATAGGAACCTGCACCGCATAGGAGAGGTTCCATGAGAGAGAGGTTTTATAAGGCAATGTCAGACCTTGGAGCTGGGATTCAATGACTGGATGGATGGCACTGCAATGAGGCTGAAGCGTTCATAGAGGTACTCATTGGAGGAACTGCCCTTCAGGAGAGCAAAAGGAATGAGGTACAGTTCTCCCTCCAGAACCAGTATCAGCTGGCGGTGGCGGCCAACAGGTCCACTGGAATGCATCAAACCCTGAAAGGAAAAGAGAGAGAATCAGTTCAGCCCTTTCACTCCACCAGTGCCTCAGCTTGCAGTTTCCAAGCATCAGGCTCTAGTCCAACCCCACAACAGGTTTGGAAATATCCACATTAGAATTACGCTCCGTGTGAACACGGATTGCAGTGACAGGTAAACACACATTGGCATAGGACAGATCTATACAGCTGGACTGCTGCTCACGCGTGCACAAACAATCCCATTGAGATGAATGAGCCTTGAGTGCACTGACATGCTGTATGGACCTGCCATCACACCCAGCTTCAGCAGGTGTGCTGGGGCCCAGCCTCACCACAGTACAGTGACTCCTTCCACTCCAGCATAAAATCTTTGTTAGCCCCAATGAGCTATGTCTTGTCAATATTATCACCTTATGCTTTAAAAGAGAATATTCTTTCTGATACTGAATTTCAAAATAGCAACTTCCTATATAAGAGCAAACAATCTACAAACAGACTGTGTATATGACCTGTGCTTCAAGACACTTGACATTGCAATCAACCCAGCGTCACAAATAGGTCTGAAGAGAAAGTAACTTATGGATGGAAAAGTGAGACAGAGAGATCAATAAATAGGGAACACAAACCTGGGCACAAAAAGTGGCAGCTGCTCCTGGTCCCATGTAACTGTGGGAATTTCACTCTTACTTATCTAGTGTATTGTAAAAATAATTAGTTATCACCCCAGGAAAGAGTAACTTCAAAGCACTGAAATTTGCTCCAGCTTAAACACTTGTAGCACACACACAAAAAAGTCTAAAAGACTGTCATGCAGAATGACAGTAAATTTCTAAGTAATTCTACACCTTTAAGCTAGAGTAGCAGCCATAGCTTGGCCTAGCAAATAGACCATTCATCTGAAAATGAAACTTTTAGCACAAGCTTGGATGAGATCAAGTCCTCAATTTGACATAGTTTTGGAGATAACCAGTTCAACTAGGGTTGTTCTATTTCTGCCCAGACTGCTTGATGTTCCCAAAGGCAAGCTAACTTTGCAGCATTCACTGCAGGACAGAGACAAGGATCTAGTATGCAGGACTAGATCCTTGTCTCTGGATTCTCAATTCTTTTGAGAATTTTCATTTTAAGCCATTTTAATTGCCATCAGATGTAGCAAACATCTGTTTTGACAGGAGAAAAACAGCTACTCAGACTGCTCAGCAAATGAAGACAAAACTGCCTGACTCCATTCCAAGTGGATTTCTGAACTAGCTTCCAATGCCTCCAAACATTACCTCTTCCTGATGCAAATTCTGGGGCTTCAACAGAACAGCAGTAAAGGAATTGTGTTTTTCAAACACATGGCTTACATTTCATAAATTACAGTAATTGCCAAAACCTCTAAGGTGTTAGCTAGATATATCCTTATTGGAAGTAGTAACATCCATGTTCTACCTTTTTTCTGTTATTTATCAAACATTACTCCTTTTAACAACCATTCTTTAGAGCACACTTATTTCAGTTGTGTCCCCATTTAACAGGGGAGCAAAGAATCTTCCTTCTTTCACTAACAACAGTGACTACTACTATGAAATGTCTAATGGAAACACAGATTTTTGAAACAAGAGGGGTGCAGAAGCAGTGTCAGAAAATCCTAAAGTGAGAACATGTCGGTTAATCAGACAGTGCAACAGAAAAGAAAGGGATATTGTGCATTCTGAGGATGAATATTACTGCTTGTGTGAAGTTTTATATATAGAGCTCAGACAAATGCAGTCTGGTCCTAACACACAATTCTTCCTCTCCACCTTGCTCAGGGTCTGTCTGGAGCAGACTTTCAGACTGCACTGTGATGCACTGACAGCTGACAATTAATTTGAGATACATTGACCCCATCTCACTAGCAACCAAAGAATAACAGGAATTTGCAGTCAGTCTCACGCTTTAGTTCTCAGGCAACAGTAAAGATGAATTAACATTATTAAAGAAATAGAAAAATCAGTCCGGCAGCCTCGTCAAAAGGGAGTCTGGAGCAAGTCAGAATCATAGAATCATAGAATCATTAAGGTTGGAAAAGACCTCTAAGATCAACCCAACACCACCATGCCCACTAAACCATGTCTCGAAGTGCCACGTCGACACGTTTTTTGAACACTTCCAGCGATGGTGACTCCACCACCTCCCTGGGCAGCCTGTTCCAATGCTTGACCACTCTCTCAGTAAAGAAATTTTTCCTAATATCCAGTCTAAACCTCCCCTGGCGCAAATGTGGCCACTTCCTCTCATCCTATGGCTAGTTACTTGGGAAAAGAGACCAACACCCACCTCGCTACAACTCCCTTTCAGGCAGTTGTAGAGAGCGATGAGGGCTCCCCTCAGCCTCTTCTTCTCCAGGCTGAACAACCCCAGTTCCCTCAGCTGCTCCTCCTAAGACTTGTGCTCTAGACCCTTCAGCAGCTCCACTGCCCTTCTCTGGACACGCTCCAGCACCTCAACGTCCTTCTTGTAGTGAGGGGCCCAACACTGAACACAGGATTCGAGGTGTGGCCTCACCAGAGCCGAGTACAGTACTTCCCTACTCCTGCTGGCCACACTATTTCTGATACAGGCCAGGATGCTGTTGGCTTTCTTGGCCACCTGGGCACACTGCCGGCTCATATTCAGCCGGCTGTCAACCAGCACCCCCAGGTCCTTTTCCGCCGGGCAGCTCTCCAGCCACTCTTCCCCAAGCCTGTAGTGTTGCAAAATACCAAAAAACAGGTCAGCTATGAGGGACAGTGTCAAACAGTAGCAAGTTTAACACAGACAGAAAGGTGCTTTTAAAGGCTTTCTCCTGTCCTCCTTACAGGTCTGCAGCTCACTCTGCCTCACAGACTGCAGATGGACATGAAGGGCAGTCGCTGACACACAGCTGACTCAGGAGCCTTCCTGTGAACCACCTCCGCTCCATCCTGACATGCTGTTTACAGACCCAGCAGTCCTCAGGGAAGCCTCCCTGGCACTCACTGCCTGGGGTGAGCCAGCATGGGTGCTCTGCAGCTACATTTACCAGCCTCCATTCAGTTGTGCCTCCTTCTGCAGAGAGTTGACAAGCAGCAGTTTCCCACCAGGGCAGCTGTTGCTTTCCAGAAATGTTTTGGGGTTTTTTTTTGTTTTGTTTGTTTGAATGCATGTGCCATTTTACTTACTGCTCCAGGACCTTTAGCTATCAGCCATACAATAAGAGCATCTGAGCCATAGTGACATGTGCCTAGCAGAATTTTTCATTTATACATAAACCCCCTAGAGTTTAGTATTTTTTTCCTCACAATCACTGTATGTGCATTACAGAAATGAAGTAAAACTATGAGAATCATTTGCATTTCATATATCTCCAAGAATTAATTTTAGGGTGAGTTCTAACAAAAAAGAATCTCTTCAGTGAGAAAAAGGAGAAAAGCATGAACTGTCAAGCACAGGAATGTGTGCTCTACTTCACAGCAATGACACCAGCTACACTGGTGACTTGTCACGAAGGTGGAGAAGTCTCTGGTCCATTACACACAGGGAGCATGGCTGTGCAGGGTTACAGCTGACAGGTGCTGGCTTGGATGGGTCCCTCACTTTCAGCTAGTGTCACTATAATTGGAAATTTCTGTTATAATGGGAGTGTCAAGCAACAGACAAGACCTGAACTGCATCTTCTTAGAAAGTGGCTAGTAAGGACCCTGTATCTGCTAATTGTGTGCTCTCTGAAAGCCCTGCCAAGCCCTACAGTACCTTACTGGAGCCAGCTTTAGGCCTCAGACACCCAAACCTGCCAAGCAGTGCCCAACCACAGTGTATACTCACTGGGAAGGAGAAGCAGGCTCCTAGGGTTGCCCATGAGAATTTCCTCCCGGCCTGTCTTAACTCTTTACACTAGCTGTAAGCAGGCGTTAAACTCCCAGGTGAAGCTTTCTCACAAATGTTGTAGTAGATGATAGAGAAAACTCATAAGCAGAGCTGACATCCTTGCACTGCAAAGAGGATAGACATGCTGCCTCTAGAGCGGAAGGCCTCACTCTCCAAGATTCATGGCTTGACCGCGGGATGGCAGGCTGAGAGCTAACAAAGGCTCAGGCTCACAGAGGTTATGCCTCCGCAAGAGAGGTGACTTCTGCAGACAAGATTAAAGCATCCAAACAGTCTTTAAAGTAACCCAAGGTAAAGCTGGTTTTCCCTCTCACATGACAGAATCATGACATTTCAATCTGTTTGTTCAGCTGGATACTGAGAAAAGACTAATTCTTGACTGAGTGACTTTACCTCTTCTAGCTAGAGATACCATGCAACAGAGACACAGGACTTTTTAATTTATCCTGCCATTGCTCCATGAGACTGGAACCAGGGGCTGCGCTGCTGCTCCTGGCCTCCCACATAGGCTGGCCAGGGTTGCCACAGGACACCACGCCATGCAGCTTCCCTTTGCTTCTGTGTTTACCCCATGATCCACCAGCATGGGACGATGCCAGAGCCTGTGTGCTCCACCTCCACACTGGCAGGTGTGCCCCAGTGCAGCACTGCCATGTGCTGAGCAGGGCCCCGAACGGGCCAAGAGCTAGGACACCGGCTGTGAACCAAGCAGGCTGCTGAGCACCTGACCAGCCCCAGCAGCAGCTCCCACCCCCTGCTGCTGGCACTTGCTAGGAGTATGTCTACCTCTTTGCAAAAGCACCAGCCCCTGGGATGGAGAGAGAGCAAGGCCCAGCTTGTCTGGCTGCAGGTGGCTGCCAGTGCGGCACTGCATGGCAGTGGAAGGTGCAGGTTTGGCCAGTGGTGCTGCCGGGCTCACAGTACTGCTTTTTCTATCCCCTGAACTATTTGTCCCTAGACAGAGCTGTTGAGTTTGCCAATTAGTATTGGTGAATTAAGAATACACTTCCTGCTTAGGTTCATCAAAAGCACTGTACTTCAACAGCTGACTGGAAGCAGTATCAACAGCAACATCCCTCCACCTCCCAACACACCCAGTCTCACCATCTGGGAAGACCAAGTGAAAACCACCATGCTTCAGATACAATCCCCAAGCTGCCTATTCTTACTTTCCCACACTGACAGGGGATTTTCATAAGTGAAGCTCTACATTTGTCCATGGCAAAGGCTTACTCCTTCCATAGGTCCTATCAATAAGTCGTAGAGCGCACGGAGTGGGGGTTTGGTGAAGGAAGTCTGCCTCCTTGGAAGAGATGATGTTCCATCCTTAACAGGAGACATGGTACTGCTGAACAGACTGGTCATGCTCTGACAGCTCCTGTGGGCAAAAGGCAAGTGAGAGGTTAGTTGCAGAAATCTGAGGTCCACTACAGGTTGCCCTGAATTCATAACACTGACGATGAGCCAGTCTCTGTCCATCCAGAGGACTCTTTTCTGTAAGATGCTTCATGGCAGGGCTTTATTCTCCCATTCAGCTTCACACCACAATGAAAAATGACATTAATGGCAGGGTAAACCAGTTGCAAGCAGCATATTACATTGCTATGGAGTTTCTCTATAAGCTCAAGTGCCTGAAGTACTGTTCAGAGTTTTTACTGCATATGTATGTATAGCGGTTGTGTGCAGGCAAACATGAGACTCATTAACAGTTGACTACAATCACAGGAACATTTGCACTTGGATTTTGCACCAACTAATCTAGCATGGTACCAAGAGGAAATATGACAACAGGCAATCAACAAGACATGAAGATTATGCCTGCACTTGCTGCCACTCTGCCAAATGGCTCTGTGAAGCCAGATGCGTGAGCTGACCTGAGCCCATTTCTGACATCCCCACAGACAGAGCTCTGACATGCTCTCCTGGCATCACCAGCCACCAAACACAGTCACTCTGAGGAGATTGAGATGGCATGTCTACAAAAAGTTATTGCCCTGTTGAAGAAATGATGTTGCCCCATTCTGGTCTCACTAATCCAGCAGCTGTGCTCCCCAGAAAGGTTATCCTTGGCTTTGTGCCATGAACAACCATTTTATGTGAAAAGGATAACTTTCCAGAAAGTTTTAACAGGTGGGCCTTCAAGAAAAGGTGGGGAGGGAAATAACACATTGAGCAGTAATGGCAGTGCAAGGTCTGAAGTGTAACCAGTGTCACTGCTGGGGCTGTCCAGTAATGAACACAACAATCTCAAGCATAAAAGGCCACCCATGAGGCAACACACCGCCCCATTGTCCTCAAGGTGCTAGATGGCATTCGATGGAGGGTTCCATGAAATCCCAGTCCAGATCATACTCCGATGCTGCTGCGCAGAGAAAGCCTCCCTCGATTCTTGGTCTCTAAGAAGCACAGCACTGTTTTGCCTCTCAGACACCTTCCAATGCTATGTGCCTTTGCCAATTTACACAACAGGAGAGCAGCTACAGTTTTCTGATTCATGACCAAGCTCTTGCTTTATCAGGACACTAGTCTGCAATGTCCTTTTTTTGAGACTGTTTACTCTGAAGAAATGCCTTGTCTGTTTCTGATTTTTACCTCTTGCCTGGTTCAATTTTTGGCTATCAACACAGAACAGAAATAAAAGCAGAAAGTATTTGCACATCCAGGAAATCTAAAGAAAACTCAGCATTCAACAGAGATGTAAATCAATGAGATATATTAATATGTTGATTGCATATTTACCTATAGCAAATACACACACACACATATAGGCACAGTATCTCTGCGTATTGCCAGATTAAGCCAACATGCAGGAAAAGACAAGGAGAGCAAACACATTCCACTCAAGTGCACTTCTACCACTGACAAACCACAGGCCTGAGATATACCCTTGACCCTTCCTGACAAATACCAAGACAGATTCAGAACATTTCTTTCTCCTCTCTCTTTCTCCCCTATCTTTCTTTCTCTCCTCGGTTGCTGCAACTAGTCTCCAGACCCAGCTCACATCATGTCTAAAACTTATTCTCTGAAGAAAAACGATGCTACCACCCATGCTCCCCACTAACAAGGAATTTACATCTTATGAGTCAACAGAAGTAATTTAAGAATGCAAACGGAAGCCTGGTGTCCAGCTGCCCATGCTCTCCAATGCAGAGATTCTGGTGAACGTACGACTATGATGCTGCTACTCAGAGCTGCTGAAAACTTGACTAGGTGACTTGGGCACTATCAAGTTCAGTGCAGGATCAGCATGGACTCAGCATTGCCTGCTCCCCTTTGGACCCCTCTGCATAGCTTCACTGCAGCAGCTGACTGAGCCAGGCACGCTTTGAAGTGCTCAGTTGTTTCCATACCCTGTTGTCCTGGTTTCAGCCAGGATAGAGCTGGTTTTCTTCACAGAAGCTAGTGTGAGACTGTGTTTTGGATTTGGGATGAGAAACTGTTGATAATGTGCTGACGTTTTGGGTTGTTGCTGAGTAGTCAAGGACAGTCCAGCTTCTTGTGCTGGCTTGCCAGCAAGGAGGCTGGGGATGCACGGGAAGCTGGGAGGGGACACAGCCGGGACAGCTGACCCAGACTGGCCAAAGAGATATTCCCTACCATACGACGTCATGCCCAGTACATAAACTGGAGTTGGCCGGGGGGCGGAAATCGCTGCTCGGGGACGGGCTGTCGATCACTGGGTGGTGAGCAATTGCTGTACCGGGCATCACTTGTTCTTGTACATTCCTTTGTTGGTATTATCATTGTTCCCTTCTTTCTTTCTGTCCTATTAAACCGTGTTTATCTCAACCCACGAGTTTTTTTTCCCCATTCTCTCCCCCGTCCCACTGCGGGAGGGGGAGTGAGCGAGCGGCTGCGTGGTGCTTAGTTGCCGGCTGGGGCTAAACCACGACACCTGTGTGGCACAGATTTTAAAATTAGATCAGGAAATAAAAACTGTGCTTTCCCATTCTCACGCATTTCTAGTGCCCTGAAGCCTGTGCTCAAAGCACATCCCTCTAGTATATCGGGCCCGATACCAGTCTAGAAGGGCTGGGATACCCCACCGCTTATCCAGGAACCAGTGAGCATCTAGAGCTTTAGTCCAAGCACAGCAGCCCTGACCTTCCCACGAAGCCGCGATTTGCCAGCAGGTGGCACTCGCCAGCCTCACCTGCTGTATTAAGCAATTTTAACACACTAACTTATTGCAGGGAATAGGGGCTTGATTAATCAGCAGAGCCTCCTTGATTTTGGTTTCACAGCCAAGCAGCTCTAGATTTATTCCTTCATCACTCGGATTGCTTTTTATTAGAACAAAGCCAAGGGAGTATCACAAATCTTTCACATCTCTTGCCTGTTGTGTTTGTGTACACAAAGAAGAGTGAGGAAATCCATAGGGGGAGGATGGACAGAGATCTTTTGTAGTAGGCAGAGCAGACCTGGAGCCCTAGCCAGCCCACTCCCTTTCCTCCCAATCCAGTGCAAACAAATGGCTCTCCAGGTGGCTTGTCAGGCATCTGAGTCCAGGCAGTTTCAATGTGACAAGAGGGAGACTTCTCAATCTTTTGGCCAAATGCCCTTCTACAGAGCACCAGTGCTGGCTTCTGGGATGCTGCACTGATCATTTCTACCTTGCTCTTGCAATGTAGAGGGGTCCCCTGATTTCTGGAACAGTAAAATCTAATTTGGAAGCCTATATCCAGACTCTGGAGTGCTGCTTATTTATAACCCTAACCTGCAGCAAGCAGAGGAAACAGCAAAAACTGGGACTCAGGACCGCCTGCATACATGAGCTTTACCTCTGCTTCCGCCCTTTGTCTTGGAAATGCAAGAACAAAGCATTGATCCCATGACAGCCTCATACAAAGGGGGAGAAAGCCCGCGTCATGCAAGCCTTGAGCTCAGATTGATTTGGCCTACCATCAGCCTCACAGGGCCTGGCTCTGCTTGCTGAAGATGAACGTGTCTGGGCCCACGCAGGAAGGCTAAGTTCATACCAGAATCAGCACAGAGCTGCTCTTGCTTTGGCACTCGTTAGAACTCTGGACAAGTCAAATACTACTCATGATCAAGCACTAGCCATTTGGGAGAACTGGGAGTCAGACTTACTGCTGCAGTAGTCTGAGAGCCTCAGGACAATGGATATCCATCAGGCCTGTCTTTCTGCAAGCCCTTCTCAAAAAGGTTCTTCCTAGAGATGAAGCCCCAAATCCACATTCAGGGCATTGACACACTCACAATACCAAGCTGTGGGAAGCTCCAGAAAACATTCAGATATGAGCTCCCTATGGATTATTTCAAATGAGATCCCTGTGGATCGGCAATTATCTCCAGAACCCACCAGTGGTTGCACAAAACCCACAGACCACCCAGCACTCTCTGCTTGTGTGGTCTGTACTTGGGCAGCTACAGCACTGCACCCCGTATGGTAGAGAACCAGACAGATAAGAGACTCTCCAGCCACTGCTTTCCAAAGACCTCGCTTCATCCTGGGCCAGCCAGCACCCCTGGTACACCCCTATCCCTCTGCTCTGGAGGGGCTCAGCTGCAGGGCAAGCTGTCCAGCCCCTGAGGGCATTAATAGGCTTTAGTGACCCTGAGGAGCCTGAACTGGGGCTTCAACCAACATGCCCTGCCCATGGGCCCAGGAGCTCCATTTAAGCTGGGGCCTGGGCCTTCAGTCTCTGCTTGAGCTACACTGCAGGTATGCTTGTCTCCAGCTCCACCACAGACCTGCCTGTGCCTGCCCGTGAACCCTGCTGATCCAGAGCCTGACCTGCAGACTAACATCCCCTCAGACTGCCCCTTCCCAATGGACCTGCACAGCCATCAGTGGGCTGTGTCTGACCCCAGTTACCGCCACCAGACCTGATCCTGACTCGGACACTTGCACATCTGGCTTGACCTCAGACCTGCCTCATCACCAGGCATTTGCCTGATGATCTGAACTCTCGGCTGACTCTGTCTGCCATCCACAGGTCTGCCCTGCTAACTTCGCTGCATACTGTGGGATGGGGTCCTGCTGGTGTGGCCTCTGCCCCACAGGCTCTGCTGCTGCACCTGGCTCTCAATACATTAGGGAGCAGCTGGTCCTTGCTGTGTGACAACATAAGCACAGCCAACAGGGCCAAAATTAACACAACGGCCGGGTGCCCCAGCAAGAGGAGAGGGGAGATATACTCAGAAAGACATCACATGATGGTCACTAGGATGAAACCCTGAGTAAAAAGAGATGAAACAGTATCTTGGCAATAGCTTCTGAGGCTCCATGTGAATTGTAACCTTCTGCTAGACTATGCTAGCTGGATTCATAGAGACTTTACTCTTACTAGGGCACTGAGCTTGCTCTGGAAATCTTCAACTATGCTTGTAGGACTGGCCATGGACCTTGTGCATGCTGATTCTGCGGGAAAAGAACAGATTGCTCTCTGCAATCGTAAGGGGAGCTGAGAGATAGCAATGGCTTTGGCAGAAGTGAATTTGCATCTCAAGTTATATTGCTCCTTACCTCCCAATTTGCCTTTTACAAATTATCACCATGCTACATTGCAAAAATTGCCCTCAAGGAAGTATATTTTACCCTTTGAGCAGTGTCAAGGCCGATTTTCATGTTTTCTGCAGGTACAGGAAGGAGGACAAACCGTATCCCCATGATGGCGGGAGAGCTATATTCAGGTACAGGCAGTGATCAAGACCCTTGCTCGAGCAGAAGATGACTAGCAGGGAGGAAATCAGATTTTAATCTGGAAACCTAACACAAGTCTAAGAGCCCTAAGGAGCAGAGAAAACAGAAGCTGCATAAGACACGAGCAACTAGGAGTATCTTGGGGTCTGTATCAGTGGCATCCCCAGCTCAGACAGCGATTGCCCAGTACTGAGATCACTGCAGTGTCCCTTCAGTGCTTCTCTCTCCCTCGAAGTCCATGTCTTCTCAGAAGTTCCTTAAGTTACCTGCCAAACCCCCACATTTTTGCTTTTCTAAGCAGAGCTGCCAAAAAATTACACTATTATCTGCTTAAAAGCCAGGTTACCTGATGACAGGAGCCAGAGAACACCAGTCCCAAGCCAAAGGCTTCCTTTCAGTCACCCGCTTGTCGCCAGACATGGAGACTGGATGGCTCCAAACAGTCCCAGCATCTCCAGGGCCTCATTTTCTAACATGGGACCTTAACAGCATGTGCAATTCCTGTGCGTGAGGGAACTTGCACTGGCCCCAAGCCATGCAAACTCCCTTGAGGATCTCCAACATTCAAGCACAAGATGTGCACACGCATTCAGGCCCCACATGAGGAATGCAGGGCCTGCCTTGGCAGTAGGAAAGACAAGCTCTTATTCTCAGCTCCAAGCAGGCCCTACTTTCTTTGTCCCTGCAGTGCAGAAGCCAAAGCAAACAGACGTCATACCTTCAATCGCTGCTTGTGAGCCACAATTTTACCATGCTCTGAAGCACTACAGCAGCAACAATCCACTCAGCATTGACCTACAGCTATATGAACTCACTCCAGTACTAGCTGGCAGAAAAGCCATTGCACAGAGGAGGTGAACTGGAATCTGAAGCTACAGTATCACAGCTTGTGTTCTAGCTAACCATTCAATTCTGTTGCTTAACCAAAGTCTAAGAGCTCACAGTTCCTTGTTAGAGCTCTAGGCCAGTGCACAGAAATGCTGCCTGCTCCCATTCTATTTCCTAATATGCTCTCTTCCATGCAGATTTTCATCTGGTTCCTTCCTGAAGCTTCAGGGCTCTGGGAAGGATGTCTCCTTGTTGTCCCAAGCTTCGTGTGCTGCATGCCGTACAGAGCCACTCCACTCTCTACACAGCTTAATTATAAAGAACCACACAGTACAGCAAGAGGCCAGCCAACGCTTTCTACAGTTCCAGACTCTGTAGCCTCCAGTTTGATCACCTATGGGACTGGAGCAGATGTTAATTACAGGAAGTATTCAGAGGATTGGGCAGGACCACAGCATCCACCCTGAATTCAGGGCTCAGCAAGCCAGGTGCAAAACGTGTGGCAGCGTTAGCTCTGCCACTAGAGTCCCCTGGTATGCCCCCATCTGCAGGCAAAAGGTGGGAGGCAGGCAGGCCATACAGCAGTGCCTTCTCATTCTCTTCATCTCAGTGCTCATGGTGAGAACATCAAAGACATGGCTGGTTCTGGTGCTCCTTCTGATGCTCTTGTTGAGGGTGCTTTAAATTAAGTGCTCAAGTTGCCCCAAACCTGAGCTTTTCCTAAAAGCTGCAAGCTAATTACCTGATAAGGCACCCAAGGTAAGCTCCTGGATGTGGGTTCAAGGTAATGCACTTGGCTCCTATGGAGCAGAAAGACATGCTGCATGGTCGGCCTCTGCGGTGTTCCTGAGGATTAGCATTCCCTGGAGCAGAATCAGATCATATTTTTCCCCTGTAATCAGAGGGGCATTCTCCTGTCCTTCTAAGCCTGATGAACTAGCAAAACATCTCAGCAATTCTGGGGACCTGGCTGTTTGATCCAAAACTAGCAAGTACTCATAGTTCATCATCAATGCAACAGCTTGAACAGATACGCATGTGGATTCTGGAAAGGAAAACTGGCCAGGTATTGGTGCCAACAGGCAGCTCCCAGTTTCATGGGGATGCTGTTACAGCTCACAAGCTCCAGTAATGGCTCACAACACTGCAGGCTGATCGCATTTCATTTTCCAGCTGAGAAAGGCCTAGGGTATCCTGTGCTCACAGTCCATGCTGGAGCACAGATCTAGCCAGAAACCCTGGGTTGCATCATGCAGTCCCTCTCCACTGGAGGAGTGGTAACACTGGAAAAATTCTGTCTTCAATTTTCATTTTGAATGCTTGCCCTAATTAGCACAGTAATGCGAAAGACTGAGACCTGAGCAAGTTGTAGCAGGCAGAAAATGAGTTGAGACTGTGCAGCTAGCACACAGTCCTGTAACTCTGGAAATGCAACATATTCCCAGCTAGTTAGTACAACAGTTAAGCTCAACAGAAGCTTCCATAATAAGTGTATAGCACAGAGCTCCAAGCTCCACACCTCAGAGACACCAGAGACAAAACAGAGTTTCGTTGCAATTGTTCAGATAGTCAAAAACCCTCAGCAAGTTTGCTGAGATACAAAACTGGGAGGAGTGGCTGATAGACCAGAAGGCTGTGCTGTCATTCAATGGGATCTGGACAGACTGGAGAGTTGGGCAGAGGGGAACCTCATGAAATTTAACAAGGACAAGTGTAGAGTTCTGCACCTGGGGAGGTACAACCCCATGCACCAGTACAGGTTAGGGGTTGACCTGCTGGAAAGTTCCCCATACATCCATGCTGTGAAGAACGTATGGTTACTGCAACAGTAAAGGATAGTATCAGTTGCTGCTCTGTGCCTCCACAACTCGGGGCAACAGGGAGACCACGAGCAATGGCATTGGCTGCACCCTGAACTTGCAATTTAGAGAGAAGTCTGTAACCAAGACATCTCATTCTGCTTGCTGATCCCCACAGTGCAGTGCCATATTCTCACCTGTTCAAGAGGTTGTTCCTGCTGCCCATCCTCAGGAAGCCAGTCGGATCAGTCATTGAGTTCAGCTTGTTATTCATCTCCTCAAACTGTTGATCCATGATATCCCCAGCTTCACTCTCAGTCTCGCTACTAGCACAGGCTCTGCAGGGGCAACAGCAGGGTGAAGGAGTCACTGATGCAAGACAGAGCAACAGCTTTGTGACAAATGTTCAGACAGTTTGAGAGAAGAAGTTTCTCAGACACAACCTCAACCAAATGCTGAAGTCAAATCTTCCCTGGATTGCATCACCTCCTCCTGTTAGGCATACAAGATAGTAACAATCTGATCCCCTCCTCTTCTCCTGGGCACTCTTCAAGGTTTAAAGTTTGGTGCACACTGATGGAAATACAGGACCCAAATTCCCATGCACTGCAGTTATAGACTTTTGAAGCTGGAGCACAACACAGAAAAACCGAGGTCTGCAGGAAACGTGAACTTAGCCCTTGATTTGCCTAAGAACATGTGTCAGTGCATCCTTTTTGGATTTCCACAATAGTAACTCCAAGCTTTGTATGCTTCCTTCACTGGCAAAGTGCAAAATAAAAAAAGGGAGCTGTGTTGCTGCTCCTGTTATACAAGTAGGGAAAAACAAAATTACTTTACCAATGCCACTAGGACAGCAGCAATACAGAAAGAAATAGAGCCCAAAATTTCTAAATCTTCGACCTCCTGATATTAATATCTAAATTACCATATCTCAGTGTAGATTTTCTGTCACACTGTTATCATTTTCTCTTCTTTCTAAAAGCAGAAAGCAAACACAACTATTCTATGTGCATTTTTAACGACCACTTCCTTTAATCTAATAAATAATTTGCATATTATATGGTACATCACAAACCTTGGAATTTGTACACTTAAGCTAAACCTGCTATGCTACCTGCTGAAGCTACCTTGTATCTCATTTCTGTTTCCTTTTGGGTTCCTGACAACTTGGAGCCTTTCCTCACGGGCACAATTTCCAATAGAGCACATTAATTAAATTAACGCACAACATGTACTTACACAGGCAGCTAGAGCTGTCCCCATGTTGCTGTATGAGCCACAGGATAACTTATAAGCATACTTCCAGGTCAATATAATTTGATAACCTGAAAGAGTAAGTCCTGACAAAAGCCAATCACTCCATGAACACTGAAATGAGCGTAGCTGAACAACAGCCAAGGAAGCGGGGGGGAAGGAAAAGAAAAGGTTGTCAACAGCTGCCTCCTGCATGTTTTTCCTCCAGCTGCAGGCATGCTCAGTTTTGAGTCCTAGCACAGTTTTGAATAACACTCACAATGAGTATTTGGAGCTCCTTAAAGCGGCAAAAATCTTTGAGTTCATGAACCCAAGAGAGCAGGCCACATGCTCTCCCTAAAGAGAAAGGAGTCTGTCCCAACACAAGTTCAAGCAGACTTTAAGGTCCCTCTTTTTTTTTTTTTTTTTTTTGCAAGTATGTGGTACTTGTCAGCTTAATTAGACCAGCTGAAAGCAACCATTTCTAGCAGAAAGCAAAGGTTGCAGTGTGGAACTGAACACCACCACAGCAGAATCCTGATGACGCATCCCATGACAGCATCCCCTCCCCTCCAGGAGCAGAAAATGGGAAGATGTGCCACTCTGGAGATGCAACAGTACCTATAAACATGCTTACAGCATTATGGAAGGCAATGGCACTTAAATTTGAACACAAAAGCACACAACTACAGTGCACTTAAACAAGCTATGAACTGCAAAGTCAGAGTCAAACAAAAGTTTTCAGATGTGTGCTATACATAAATACCTCTGTTCTTTGCTGGTAGGCAGAGAACAGGTTCCAGGGACTGCAGGTGACAGCTTCTCCTGGGGGTCTGGTGTGCTGGAGCATGGTGGCAGTCAGCAATGCTGTAGGGAAGCACTTGATCCATGTGGGGAAACAGTTTCAAAGCAGAACATGACATTTACCCACATGGAATAGACAAGATTCGTTTATTTAATTCCCTGCATACAATTTTGAAGTGGGAAGAGAGCTTCTGCCTGTGATCATACCACACCAGCCCAATGATCTGAGAGACAAGCATTAAACTCAGAATCCTTAACCAAAAACATAGCACTACCAACACCACGAAGAGAGGAGGAAGCTGACACCACAGTAAATTAAAAACTCATCCCAGAAACTAAAGACTGAGACTCCCTTTGCCAGGAGGAGAATCTGTGGTGACAAACGGTTAATGGAACTGAAAACAGTATCTGCAAGCCTGTTACACAAGACCTAACTGAAGATTTCAGTTGTGTATATGTGTATCTACAGGTATTCAACCATCAACATGTGGAGATACATGTAACCTTCTGAATGATGCAACCCTGATGCTTTAAGAGAAGAGTAGATGGAACAGATTCAGTATGGGTTTTTTTCACCCTCTTGTCCTTCCTGTCCAGTATTCACACCTTGGAGGGAGCGATTCTATTCTCCCCAAAACAACAGAGAGTTCATGGTCCGCGTGCACATACAAGACAGAACTGAATGAAGCATCAACGTCCGTAACACATTTGCAAAACCCAGGGAACATGGAGGCTGGAGGGAGTAACTTTTGACATTTCCTTTAGTGGGAATCACACAACTCATTTTCAAGCACAACTTGAAACACATAATTCACGAGGTGTGACTGAAGATACTACCACCACCAAAGATAGGCCATTTCTTAAATGTACAATTTATATGTTAGCAATAATTTCATGATTATGATCATTTGGATAGCAGTGCTTATGTGCTTGTAGCTTCTCGGGGCTTCAATATGAAGGAAGCTATACCTCTGTGTATGTCTGTTCCCTTATGTTTTGAGTACTCAGCTGGCTGTGAGACCCTTGGCTCTTTCTCAGAGTACTTAATAAAAACGCTAGACTAACAAGCAGTTTCTTTCTGCTCACAGTGAAATGAATCATCCATCAGCTGTAAAAAATACTTGTTTCCGTTTAGAAAGCCACCTTTACCATCATAAAGGTTGTGCACCTTTTCAGAAAGTACAAACCCAAAATGCACCCAAATGAGACACAACTGTAAATCCAATACACACAGATGCGGGGATCACTGCAGATGAGTTGGCTGTCACTAATTCTGGTTTCCAACTGTCTCAACGTTATGAGTTAAGCACATACGTATCTCAGCAGCACGTGCGGTTTACAGCACTCAGCAGACACAATCCTGCTAATGCCCTTGTGAGACTGGTGGGTAATTTCACAAAAAGGCAAGCTCAGATTGGGTTCGTGACAAAGAATGAGTCCTAAAGTGAGTTCAACCCGATTGGTGACCGTACACTCGCTGTGCCAGATCCACCATTTTGGCTACCAACAGCAGCAACTCACCTGTTCCTGCTCAAAATCTGTTACAGATACTGCCAGTATTTCAGTAACACTTACTTCACACCTAAATCCCTTGTCTCGCTGAATGACCAAAGCTTGTCCTTCCCCAATGGCAATACTTAAATGCTCAGTGACCCTCCAAATGAACTTCCAGACTCCAACGTCATGCCCAGATAAACAAGATCAAACACCACATTCACCAGAAGTTTTCAGAAGAGTAGTAGGTTTTCTCAAATGGTGTTGTATCTTGTATCATCACTTATGGATAACTGGTCATGTGGTTACAAAAATGTTTATAGATAGCAGTAGAAGAACAAGAAAGGAAAAGAAAAATCAGTGTGCAGCTACCCCAAGGGAACAAAAACTGTCAGGAGAGAAATTAAACCTCAGACCCCATGCCTTTATCTATCTCCCAGCTGCAAAACCACATGGATCACTCTGACATCGCTTTCCTCCTTGGAGACTAGGGCAGTGAAGCCAAGGAGTTTTCTTCTAGATACATGTTGTCCATCTCAACTCGGACATCTCTTTTGCCTCTTTCTTATTAACTTTCCTCTCTTTTCTGGGAGAGGTTAGGTTTTTCTGGTCTAAGGAGAAGTTTATTTTTCTTCTTCTTTGTAACCTGGCCAGGTCAAATATGACCACAAACCTGCCTTTATTCTGCTGTCCACACCTCTTAAGAAAATGCCATGAGTTATGGACTGTGAGGTTTTAGCGCTCTGAAGCAGTGTCTCAAAGATTTTGATCTGTCTTCAGTTTGTTGCTGCATGAAGACTCTGGGACTGTACAACTTCTTTAGCTCTTACAAGATTAAGTAATTTTAATGATAACAGGGATGTCTAAAACAATCTCAAGGGATTGCAGAAACCCGCAAGTAATTTACATACCAGGTGATTGGCAGCTTTTGGGGCAAATTTCGACTAAAAGATGGGGGAAAAAAGCATCTTGTGTTCTTTTAGGAGACTGATACAACAACCATCCTGTTAAAACAAAAACCAAAAAATCCTACTGCCCCAAACCAGCAAAAAATCCTGAGATCTCCTCTCAAGCTGGCAATGTTCTGGACAAGCTCTTTTCTGGTAGTGTAGGTGACAAACTTCTCTAACTTGGATATAATGCCAGTAATAGCGCCCAGGCCTGAAGGCATTATGCAAATATGCATTATAACAATTATTGGGAAGTGAACTCCCTTCATAGATTGCACATAAATGTTTAGCCAGCTGCCAAGAATCTTTCAGGCAGCACACCGATATATAGATCCTTGATTTTTTTTTTTTTTGTCTTTTTTTGTTTTTATTTAAGTCATTAACTTTCTTGGCTAGGCCCAGCCAGTGTCATTCTGCAGATTTTTTCCTTGACGGTTTTAACAAGTGTCACAATTCTTTTCTCTCAGATGTTCCTGGACAAGCAGGAATAACGGCTGCGTTTCACCATTTTGTACACTTGAATAGGAACACATTATTTCTGTTCAAACTTTCTGCTATTTCAGCCCTTGCACAGCCCAGCCCGGAAATGCCAGCCATGTTCCCCAAGCGCAGCCTGCAGATACCCAGCACTCCCCTTACAACACATTTCAGATTCTTCCCCAAGGAGCCACAGAAAAGGTGTACACACACGCACACACACACACACACAGAGCCGTTCGCTGCTCCACATCACAGCAGCGCCAGTCCTAGCCCCACACCCAAACCGGAGAGGCCCCAAAGCCTTCACAGTCCTGCCAGAGAAGTGAGTTCCCACAGAAGGGAAACACTTCCAGCCCAGGAGCAGAGTGGACAGC